TTCTCGTAGACACTGTGACAGGAATCTCTCCACCTGAATTTGATAATCAGACACTTGCTGTTCTGCGTGGCAGATTAGTAAGGTACGTGGATGATAATTTGATAAAATATTAAAATCATCAGCATTTTTAGAGTACATATTTTTGATGTATTTAATAAAATGTGTTCTATAATGGAAAGAACTTGTTCATTTTTGAGTATATTATTCTATTACATTGTGTGTAATCTGTCAAGTGTTAAATTGGGGGATTCCATAATGAAAATGGATAATGATAAATAATTTTACATAACAGGTATTTAATGAGGTCACGTGAGATCACCCTAGGTCGCAAGGCTGCAGGAGTGAATGTAGATGTTGACCTTTCTCTTGAAGGTCCAGCATGGAAAATATCTCGTAAACAGGTACTATTTTTTTTTTCATATTGTTCTAATCCTACATTTTTTCTTTCTTTTGTAGAGCATTACAGTATTTGCAAAATCTACTACCTTTTTATTTATATATATCTTGTAGATGGGGAAGCTTAAATAAGTCATTTTTCTATATTTTATAAATTCCATGGCTTATATTAAAATTTTCTCTGTGACATTGAATCATTATTTTGTAGTTTTCTTTCAATAAATGTTTCTTCAAAATTTTCATTTGTAAGACTTTAGAACCTCAAGCAAAATACAAAATAATGTAGTATGTTAATTCTACTTTCTATATATATGGCTTCCAGATTTTAAACTGCACTCTCCTTTTTAGGGCATAATCAAGCTGCGGAACACTGGAGACTTCTTAATAGCCAATGAAGGGAAGAGGCCCATATATGTAGATGGTAAACCAGTATTGGCTGGGAACAAGACAAAACTGAACAACAATTCTGTGGTAGAAATAGCATCTCTTAGATTTATCTTCCTAATCAACCTTGATCTCATCAATGTGATACGACAGGAAACCGCCAAACTTAGTGGACACTAATGACAGCCCATCATAGCTTACCTCAGTGATAATTCAAATAGTAAGAAATTACCCTCATCACACACACACCATGAAAGGCCCCTCATCAGCAGAATATCATCATGTCACTCGAAGACGGTGCTTCAACTGGTTTAGGAATTGTATGACTAATTATGTACTGTTGCTTATCGTTGAGGTAGATAGTCTACTTTTTCCCCTCCCTTCAAAATTTCTCAGATACCAAAGACAATGATGGTCCTCCATTTACTTTTTGAACCAAGAGAAATGATCACAGGTATTTTTCATCAGGGTATAACGGCAAATATGTTCAGTTAGTCTCTCACGTACCATTAATTGTGTGTATTTGAGTGGTTGTAGGAATAATTTTAAAGTGTATATAACTATATCTTGACATGTAACCAAGTGTTGTGAATAATTATAGCAATACCATAATTATGGATAGCTATAAATGAACCTGTCCATCAGAATACATGTGTATGATTTTATGCACTAAACAAAAAGTACCTATGATTACTTGTTTACACATAATTTGATTACATACTTGTAACTATATGAGTACCTGTAATTAAGCGTACCTGTAATTAGTATAATATTCTGTATTTCAGTATTTACCAATATTTCCCTTTTCTATTAAAAGAAAACATAACCATAATGTTTTAATAACCCATACTTAAATTGAAAAAATAATTAATTTACATTGCATTACAAATCTGCATCACTACTATCCTTTACATAAGTATATTACTGTTTAGTAAATCAAATGCTATGTAAATAGGCTAAAGGAGTTAACTGAACTTTCTGTATTTATTTTTTAATTACCTATATCTATTCCTTCTCGGATATTTCCAGGTTAACAAAATTCTGGCATGGGTGTACAAGGCATGACCATTGTGAATTTGTTTTTTTAAATGTTTTTCGCACAGATGGCTCCACAAGTACTTGGTCACCATGGATTTTATTACTAGTACTACCTATTTCATCTGTTTGCCCTTTTTCTTCATTTTTGGAAATATTTTTTATTATACTGATAATTGGTAATGTTAATAATATTATAATGATTATAATGTCTCTCATAATAATAACAGCATCGCTATTAATAGCATTAGTTAAAAGATTAAAGATAAAAAAAAAAAAAAAAAAAAAAAATCCAAGAAAGGTGAAATCAGGTGAGCTTACGAGGTCTACTACTTGACCCCATGGTGGCTGAGCCCTTGTAGAGCCATCTATGTATAAAGACATTTCACAGAACATATCCACAGTGAACACTACATTTTCCTGCCATCATTGGATTAAGCATGTGAACAAACACACTGTAATGAATGTATGTATGTATGATTCAGTTCTGAATAACTTTACTGTATGATAATCCAGTTAAAAAACAGCAACTTCCTCCAGATACTCTTTCTACTTTCAAGTTACTAAAGTGGTCAGTTTAGCACTAAACTCTTTCTCTCCATCTATTTCCTGATTTTGACATGCATATTTTCACTATAATTAGTTTCAATGACAATACTATTATCAATAATAAGTACTGTTGCTTTTTGGTACCTTTTTATGACCTGCTGTAACAGAAAAAAATTCATTCTGAATATATAGTTACTCACAAAAGGCAATGTCTGCTAGAAATTAAAACAGTGAGGGTCTGATATAAAAACAAAGGAATCAAGATGCAAGTACTTATTCAGAGATTTATTTGCTTATGGGATTTCTCATGTTACAGTCACTGCAATTTGAGTTATTATATCCTATTACCTCATATTATATCAGCACTGCATGAGATTTATAAGACCATATTAAAAATGTTGATGTTCTCATGAAAATCAAAATGGGTGAAAGACGGAAAAAGAGGAAACCTTGGCAATCAAATTCATTTTCTTTAGTTGGTGAATTCCGAATCCCACAGTGTGTTCGTCTACTTCCTTGAAAATAATCTGGTATTGTATCTCATTTAGCAATAAGTAAAGCTTCATTGTTGTTTTATAATGTGCTAAAATTCTAAATACATAGAATACTTCAAAACACAGTAAAAATGAAGTTGATTAATATTCTTGTTAAAATGTCTTTCTTTTATCAAAGTGTACATCTTCACTCTGATACTAACCTACAGTTGACTAATTATAGAGGATTGCATACCAGTGTAGACAAACTAGCTGATCACTGCATTTTATACTTTTTTCAAGAATGGGTTCCTTTCTGAAGGCATTCTCACTAGCATGCCTTCAGTTGATTTAAAACACCTTCAAATGTTCCACAGAGCAATATTTTACTGCTCATATGAATATAAATTTTGCCCTGGTGACTTTATGGCAAGAGTATACAAAAGAGGGAACACCTTATACACCAACATATGAGCTGTATAGAACTCTTGCAGGTGCAGTTGTACTTTGTTCACACAGTATAGAGCTTCTGACCAAAATAGCCATTTTTTGTTGAACTTGTGTACTTATTACTTTATGTCTACAACACAATATCCCTTCCTTTTCTTCTGTCTCCCCACCTCCCCCCAATCTTTACCGACTTTTTTACTTGAAAACAATGTACAAAGATAACTTCTTCTGAGAAACAGACCTTGGGTGAGTACTCTTCATTAAAGCACTACATGTTATGGAAATATTATCATGTGATAATATAATTATCCTTCACTAAACAAATGGCAGACTGAAAATCTTTTCTCAGTCACAACTTCATACATTAAGTATTTCTCAAATGACCAATTACCAGCAGCATCTTCATAAATTGCAAAAAAATAGAGCGTGAGTGAAAGAAAGTCCATCACGTATACTGCATGTTCTAATGCTGTTGCTACTGCTTTAAATAAACATGTTGTCTTGTGCTGACTTACCTTGACAATATTGAAGACATCCGCTATCTTAATGCCACAGGTGTTGGAGTCATCTACTCTTGTCATGGATCCAAGTGTTGGAGAGTTGATGAGACCTATTGCCAGATCCAATGTTTGTGGGAACACATAGCAACTCTCTGCCATCATTAATCTATGACAGAAAGAAAATGGATAGAAAAAAGTTACAATAAAAATGTTAAGCTATATAAAACTTAATTGTTTCCACTGTAGAAAAATTTATTATAAAATGCCAAGCTAAAATTTTCTCCTAGTATTTCTTACCTGTACATAAGGAGCTTCTTTATTAGTCCATCTTTCAGAGTGCCATCTTTTGTCACAGGCCAGATGAAAAGAACGTCTACTTCATCTTCAAGATCTTCACATAAATTAGCATCAATATTAAATTCTTTAAGTGTCTTCTGGACACTCTCCTCTTCTATGTATAGTTTACAGTTGGGAAACTCTGACTGCAAGGAAAGGCCAGCTATTGGGAAAGGAGCTGTATCACACACAATAAATGGATCAGGTGCTCTGGCCTTTGATTGCTTCTTTAAGATGACTGATGCTTGCTTAGCTGCAGATAAAAATGCATCAATTGTGCATTCACTGTTTAGAAACATTAGAGTTTCAGCACTTAGGTTTACATAGTCATCTTCATTTGAATTTTCACAAGATACTGATAACTGTATAATACCATTGCAAATGAACTTTATTTCAACCACCTCACTGGCTGTAACCTTTGGTAAATCTTTTACTGGATATACAGCATTTTCCCATAGGGTTGTACATGTTTCTGGATTAGTACTTATGAACTCTTCTTCATTTAAGTATAAATCAAAAGCCAAGACAATAGCATCAGGTACTCCACTCTTTATGCAAGGGATTTCAAGAGTTCGGTCTAGGTCTCCACTCATATGCCTTTCAATATCCTCAAGAGAATTGAAGTTAATGCTTGTTATGGGAATCCAGTTGGATAACAATGTGAATCCTCCTGGCATCTGAGACAACTTCTCTGACATATAAGGTTCTTCATGCTTTACAGACACTCTCTTGCCTTTGAAGAAGGGTAAGTTTGGGTTTCTCAGTTTTGTTTGTCTAGATATATAATCACAGCTAATAAGTGCAATATACACCTCTGCTTTCTGGGGTATAACTTTGCCAAAGAGAGCTGGTGATGGACATGTAACTCTTTCAGATTGATTTGTAATACCAGACCCATGAGTGGAGCTTGGCTGCTCTGCCTGAGGAGAGAGCTCTGATGCTGGCAGTGGTGGCAGAAGGAGATTTTGCCATGCATACTGTAGTGTTGGGAGAATATGCTCTCCCAGCAGTCCAGCATCCACAGTCTCACTCACAACTAGACTGACCCTGTAAAAGATTGGAAAGTAACTTGAAAGAAGTGCTTATACAAAGAGAGAGGGAGGGGAAATATCAGCTGTCATATTTTAGGGGGCTCTGTACAATATTTGTTTTTATCTATTTTTCAACTGAACTAGTCATCATTCCATCTACAAAATTATGTTTCACATTTATTTGCTCATTAATTATTATCAGACTAATTCATATCCACTTATAATGTGCAATCCACATTTTGCAATAATTTGTTTACAAATCTAACAACCTGTAGTAGAACTAAAGATTGAGAGAGGAGTACAAATTGTTATTCCAACAAAGATAAAATATAATTACCTTTCTGGAATATGAGTTGGAATGGCCAGATTGTTACTATGATGGCTAAGGACTTGAATGTCTGGCAAGTCAAAATTAGCCTGGAGAATGTCACCTGACATTTCACACATAAACCTGTCCATTTCACAAGCATATACCATTCTGGCACCTGCCTGTTTCGCATACATGCTGTGGGATTGGTTGAAATAAGCCATGGTGAGAGAGGGTGAGTTTTAATTTTTCAGAAATTCTAATCTATTTAGATGTAGCATAATTTTTTAAATATCTAAACTTTAGCAACAGCAGTATTTCAGATATCTTCTCTTACATGTAGTTTAATAATAACTGTTGTATCAAAGTGTATTTCCTTAACTTAAGAGTATTTTGATATGAGCAAAATCAGTCTTCTTCAATACAAAATAAGTGGCCTATTTTCCACCTGTTTAAGATGTTCAGTTTTGGACTAATTTTGTTGCTGGTATGCTTTTGGCTTCAGATCTAACTTTTTTACTTTATCTCATCAATCAAATCATTATACTCTCAACTAACCTGAGTAAGCCAGTGCCTGATCCTATGTCCAATACCACTTCATGCCCCTGGTTGACTGCGGCCTCAATTGCACGCTTGAACACACTATTTCTGTTGACATCATTAAGCATGGGCAGGTGCCAGCGGTCAACAAGTGCATTAGTCAGACGAGCTCGAGTTTCTTGGGCATTCGGATCATGAGTGCAAGCTTTCTGAGCCATGACAGCATAGTTCCAGGCTTCATGAATGTTTCCATTTCTGCAATGAGCCAGGATAAGGAAACTAGTAGCATAAAAGATCACAACCAATTTATTGTAATAAACATTCAGATCTACAGTAGGAAAGAATACACATATAAATACACAAAATGGGGAAGAACCTTTCCACAGGAAGTACACATCATTAAATACATTCTACTCCTTTTTATCAAATCATATGCCATTAGACATATCATCATTCACAATACATAAATTTCTACTCTTCTGTTTAGTATCACAAGGATAATTTTCAGAAATTTAGCTGCCTGACATTAATATAAAAATGGAAAAATTCAGAGAATGAATAATCAAAACAATCACAACACATTTATCCATTTTTACATTTGTTTCTTATCAAACACAAAAATGAGTGCTAAATTAACAAGACACAAAAACATCCTGTAAACAAAACTGTGACATCTACACTAAACTGATGAAACACAAGTTCAACCTCTATCTGTTTAATGCTGAATTGACGCACATTTATCTGCTGATACCAAACTTAACAATAAATATCACTGTGTACAACAATGGACTGTACTATTGTATCACTTCTGATAGATGATGCTACATATACCCATGTTTAATAATGAAGAACATCATGATAATCTAAGGAAGTACGAATAAATTCAATAAAAGCAATGCATTTAACTATCCCACTCCATATCTTCATCATACAAAAGCAATATGCACTATAACCAAACAAAAAACTTACCCTGTGTAGAACAACCCTGACCAACATTCACAAAAGGAAACATGGGCAACATAGCATCATTAAAACAAAAAAATCAAAATCAAATAGAGAGCAATTAGTCATACAATACCGATAAATGAGTCTTTCCCCCTAACTACCTTCCTCGTTACCAAACATGCAACCAGAAGACCTGAATAATCCCAGAATGACTGGAGGATTGTAATTCCTTACCAAACTTGGGTCAAATAGAGACCAGAAGTTCCCTAACTGTGTGTGCATGTGGAAGAGGGAATGAATATGCAGGCAGATGAGTGTGTGTATGTGTTCAGTGTATATTTGTATAATATGTGGAAGTGTTAGCAAGGTGTTTGTGTGTGTGTGTGGGGGGTTGCATGGGCAAGTATACATGTGTGTATCTATTTTCAGTACTGACCAAAATGGGAACTATATGAAAAATTAACTAAACACCAATGGCTGCTCCTGTTTAAATAACATTATTATTTACAAAGCAACAGACAAACAGAGCACTGAATCACACTGGAACTTAGCATTGCAGAAGCTACCAGCTTGCTCAATTCTGACATTGATGACATTACCCCAATGCTCTATACCAGGTCTTAAATCATCCTCTAAAGCCTCAGGAATACTGAAGGAAAATAATTCAACAGGTGACCCATCAATGGAGCAATTAGCACTAAATTTGAAGACCTTCAGAGGCATGCCAGACAGGCTATTCCCTCCAGACTCTCCCTCCCACCAGTATATATGTGGGTAGCCTAGCATGCACCCAAATATAGTGCTTAGGTTCAAATCCTCCGGTAACTTGACTTGTGCAGCTTTAATTACCCCAGATTTGACACTTGATGATGCCCCACTATTCTGTGGCAAACACTCCATCCCATTCTGTGTAGCAGTTGCTTCTCCTGAGGAGGACATGCCTGTTGGGTCGCTCATAACATCATCTGTGGCAGCCCCAAGCTGACTAATGATGGAATTAAGATGTGTACGGAACTGGTCATGGTTTTCACTATTAGCAACTTTAGGATTCTGTCCACTTATGTCAATGAGCCATGTTGGAGAGGCACCAATGATACTCATCAAAGTACGGGTAGTAGCTGCAACATTAACAATAAATACATCCAAGTCTAGTTCCACTAAAACAAGTTTTGATATCAAAAGACCTTTAACCCGAGCTTGGTTGAGCAGGGCTAGTAAGGCAGAAGTATCTGCTGTACAAACATCCCACAATAGAGAGGGTTTCACACCCTGGTCTACTGCTACAAGCAATGGCGCTACTTCGTCACAGTATTGGGCGCCCCGAGAGCCAAGGCACTCCCTGAATAAGACACGCCACGTTTCCAAAGACATTGTCTATGAGTAATCAAAGCTTGGTAACAATCAAATCATAAGCACCAGTATTTCTATCTTTCTGACTTTTTCCCTAAGAAAAAAAAAGCCCTTCAATTGCTTCAAATGCGTGAGTTTCTTCTAATGATGTGTTAGTACCTCATCTACAACAAAGCAATAATGCAGCTTTGCAACTAATTAACTACCTGTAGAGGGTCTTAGCCAGGAGGTGATGGATGTCTGGTGACTCTGGATAGCGAGTGAGTGCAACCTCAAATATTGTCATTGCCTGCTGAAACCCATTATTCTCCTCGACAGTTGCACTCCACCTTTCTAGAAAAAGAGAGAGAAAGAGTGAGTGACACAGTTATGCTGATAGATAGAACATACACTCCTATGCAAAAAGTATTCAGAGTAATCTTTTTTTCCATTCAAATTACCAATTATCTTTCCACTACAGCTGTGAAATAGAATCTAATATAATTTTAACTAAAATCCTGGTCTCTTACTAAACAATGTCAATTTACATATGTATCAAATCATCGATTCCATAATATAAATAATGAAGATAATGAAGATAAACTGAAAAGAAAATCTCACATCAGATTCAGACTAGAGAACTTACCAAAGATATCCAAGTATCTTGAATAATACTGCTCCTTGATATGTGGTAAAATGCAGAGAGCAAGAGAGAGATGGGAAAAAGCTTTTCCAATCTGACCTCTCTGGCAGCAAACTTCAAAACTCTGCAAATGGCGTTCTGCAACCTGAAAATTTACGAATTATGCATGAACTGAACATTTTACTATGGACTTTATTAATAATATACATACCTATGTAAAGATATATAGTCAATTAAGTATTCTATTAATGGTGCATATTTTCTCAAGTAATGGTTTTGGATTAAAAATTTACCATACAGTATGGTTACTTCTTTCCTGAGTATAATTTGGTATATCTTACTAAAATGATAGTTTGATCTCAACTGACAGTGCTGGTGCCCTTGTTTTTATGCTTAAGTAAATGATTTATGAAACTTTCCAGCATTCTTTCCGAAACAAAGTTGGGCAGAGAAACTGGTGAAAGATTGAGGGATAATTGGGAAATATTGGGTCAGGAGAAAACAAGGGAGTTCCACATAGTAACCACATTTGTATACATGTAAATCTTGTAAGAACTGCAAAGGTGGCATCTGTCAGTAGTCTTTTTGAGTTTCAACTGCTCTTTGCTTCTTTTCAGTATATCAACTTTCCAAACTTTATCTAGCAATCAAAATCTAGACTTGCTAATCAATACTAAACATCAATAAATGTTTGAAATATGCTACAATGGCTCTCAATACAGAAGCTTTTTCTGTATTCACAGTTGCTCTTTTCTATTAAAATCTACCTGAAGCTTGGAGCAGTGTCAAGCAATCAATTTGGCATACATACCCTTTGCTCCAGCAAAGACCAACCAACCTCTAGCAAGTTTATTTTCTAAAAATAAAGAATGAAGATTAAAGTTCATTTGTGGTGGAGGTTTGTTGGTCTTTGCTTCAGAACCAAAAGTGTGAATCAATACTGACTGGAGTAAAGTAGGGTAGCATCTATTATTTTCTTCACAAAATGATTCTGTAAGTGAGACAATCAGAGCATAAATATATTCATGAAACATATATTCAAATTCTTTTCTTTACCTGATATCCGCTCACAACCTGTGGTTTCGATCTGCCATTAAATAAGTGTCTGGATCCAGGGCCACCAGGCATTCTTCCTTCCTTCCTCCTTTGGTTCCACAGCAGAAGTAGAACTTGTTCTGTTGAAATAAAGGTATCAGGTAAGACACTTCAATCATCTTTGTTCTATTGAAATAAAGTCTATGTTACTTATGTCTTTCTACTTTTGTTTATGTGGGTGTGTGATTCTTTACAGTATGGACGCACTCACCAGAGACAAAGTCCCAAACTCCACATTAAAAAAATTAATTAATTAGTCTAACTTGCTATGACTGTTACTGCCTGTGGGGAGGGTTGACAGAAAGCCCCCTAATACCCCCTAGAAAACATTGTCTTCCCCTCGGAATGCATGGAAAAATAGAGCTGAAACTCAGGAGCACCGAGTGCTTGGGCTAAGAGCAGTGCTTTCTGAAATATATTTCCTTTATTCGTGGCATTATTGTTCATGTCTGCTGATTATTTTTTGTACCAACAGCTGCAACTTTTTGTCCTTTACAAGAATATCATATTCAATATACCCTAACTGAGTGCCTCCATACCATAAAGAATCAATTGTGGGTGGAAGTGTCGAAAAGCCTTGACTGCTAATTTGTTTATCTTTTCTTTTTCTTATTCTTTGTCCACTTTTTTTTTTTTTTAATTCTTGGTCTACTTTTTTTCTTTTTATTCTTTGTCTACTTCTTCTAGTTTCCCTTTTTCTTCTGGTTTTCTTATTCCTTCTTTCACATCATCCTTTCAGCCTTCCTCTCTATACCTGTATCAAATATACACTGAAGCTGACAAAGGAAGCAAGGTTGGAATTCTTCTCAATTACAGGGATAGATTATGGTGTGAACTAATGAGCAAAAGTATCAAAATCTTTAAAAGACTGGACAGTACACATTATGAGCTTAAAAACAAAAGAAAAAGAAGAAAAAGATGAAGAGATGAAGGTCATGATTTACAAATATTCTATCACTTTTCAATCTGGCACGACTCTTTTTTCCTAATATGAAAGCCTTCAAACACAATGCTCTATCCCGCTCAATTTCTTCCGCTCTATAAGATGGCGGTGTCCATTTCCCTCTATCTACGTGCGTCAGTGTCTTTAACTTATACCACATTTCCTTATATGAAAAGAATACCGCATTAAACAAAGTAACAGAAAGATGTGACAGAAAAAAGTTGTTCTATAATTTGCTAAAAGAAAGAAAAGAAGAAAGCTGAATATTATATAAGCAGTGACTGACTGGACTTTAAATACTACATAAATCCATGTTTTTTCCCTTAAATTTCCATGCATAGAAATGTCAAGAAAAAAATATCTATAATGGTTCTAGAACACTAAATATCCGAAAGTACTTCCTCCATACTTTATCCACCTCCTTATCATAACCAAAATAAATTCATCATAATGCCCATCACCTCCTTATCATAAATAAAGCCAACCCTTCAAAATTATGAACAAACAACCAGAAATACAGATTAACACGAAGCAAACCCACCATCTCTTCATCAACAGGCAAAAACCACCCTTAAACCATCCATAATTAGACGTAAAACCATTATGGAAGCCCCGAATACATCCCAGACGAACCACTCGACCAGATAATCGTGTCACAATCACCTCTCTACATGTCAAAAAGGCGTCACATCAACAAAACCCAAAAGACAGCTTGTGTGGACCTTGTTTGACCCCTGCGGCACTTCAGATCAGCGGTCTAAAGCTCGGGAAAGTGGGCCGCTTTCGGTAAAATAATTCTGATTTTTGTTTCTCTGGTGGTTTTTGTTATAGATGATGTGCTAATGAAATCGTTGATGTTTGTGTGTGTGTGTTTTTTTTTTTTTTGGGGGGGGGGGCTTTAAAAGTTGCTAGGTTCAAGGGAAATATATTATATATATATATATATATATATATATATATATATATATATATATATATATATATATATATAGTATATATATATATATATATATATAATATATATATAACACACACACACACACACACACACACACACAACACACACACACACACACACACACACACATATATATATATATATAATATATTATATATATATATATTATATATATATATATATATATATATATTATTTCTCTCTCTCTCTCTCTCTCTCTCTTGAGTACGCAAATAAACGCAGATTGTCTGTTGCATTTCTCACCCATGTGATGGAAGTTTTCTTACAAGACATGTGCACACACACACACACACACACACACACACACACACACACACACACACACACACAATAGATATATATATTATAATATATATATATATATATATATTATATGTGTACATGTGTGTATTTTTTCTTCTCTTTCTTTCTATCTCCTTGATGAGATCAACCAAATGGAAGTGAATACTGGAAGTGCATTGTGTATACCTACGAATTTTCCTATGCTTTCATAACAACTCCTACTACTATTATTAATGATAATAAAGATAATGATAAGAATGATAACAGTAATGATAAGAATGATCATAATAATAATAATGATAACAGTAATGACGATTACAACAACAACAATGATGATGATAACATTGGCAATAATGATGGTGATAATAATAGCACAAATAATATCAACCATTGGTTAGGTAAGAAAAACAACAACTTTTTATTCATATTAATTTACTGAACAAATAACATAACAAACACAAAAGTAAATATGGACTAGCGAATAATACACTTACAATCTACAGTCATCCAGTCTCTTCACAACAGGTACAGATAACTTAAAGATAAGGGGCATATCCGCGTCCCCACAAACCGAGACGGTTCATGCCCATAAGTATATTTACATCAAAGACTATACAAGAAGAAAATAAACAGGCTTATCTAGTCTTTGATCTACATAGACTCTCGTAGTTGCAGTAAAAGAGAATGAAAAGAAAGAAAAAGAAATGCAAAATGGAAAATGCCAACTTTTTCTGAGATTCGTCAAAATGGAAATCTTTATTGACGTGCCAGCTGGATGAGCCAATAACGAACGTCAAAACAAATGTGTTAGCGCAAAGAAAATTGTCCTTTGGTCGGCGTATGACTAGAAATATTGAAAATGTACTCTCTCATTAGGATACCGTCTTCGGTGTATGTAAAGCATAAATTAAATAAAATTACATTATAACTAGAGTAGAGCTCGTCGACAGTTTCGAAAAGAATTATGACTCTTTCGGACTTCTTAACATACTTAATATCATAAAAATACCCACCCTCTCTGCTTCAGATATTGATTTACATGATAGTGTCAGTTTCTTAAATATTTCCCTAGTCGGATTTAATCACTATATTTTTTTTTATCTGAATAAAGAACCATACTCTCTTTAAAGAAGTTATTTTTCTTCCAAAGTGGCTCGTTTCAAAACACGCGCCTGGTACATCACATAACAGTATGAGGATCGAGCCAGCATGGTATACTGATGTTCTCTTCCGTCTAAAACAGTCGAGATGTAAATAAGGCAAAATTCTGATGAAAGGACTTCTTTGGTCATCAAGCTATCCAAATGAGACGATGGTTTGTCAACTAACCATTTAAAGTGAAATTCTCATCGGGTTTTTGTTTTTTGGTTTTCGAAATCGCTGAGGGAACGCGGTCTTCGTTGGACAGGCCCCTGGTATCATGGAGGAAATTATCCATTTGCTGGCTCGCTCCCTACAAATGGCCTCATGAAGGACTCGGGCCTCCTCGAACGAACGCTTTTTCCTTCTCTCAAAGCTTAAATGTACACGCTGTCAAATAAATATGTCTTACAGGGTTTCTCTCGTTACATGTGAATTTGCCAAGGAATATTTTTTCCAAAGCTTAAGGAAGTACAAGGTCTTATATTCTCAGGTTATAACAATAGTGCTGAAAAAGTAAGCCACATATAAAGCCTAGTTGTATGAACTTTACATTGGTATATAAAACGTACTTGCAATATCATAACATAAAGATATCGCTTCTGCCCTCAAGGCTGTGTGTAGTCCTGCACTCAAGAATATACACTGCATTCATTAAAAGAAAACTCGTGAGGATTAACTAGTTCACACGACACTCTTGTTATGCTTAACTCCCTTTTCCTTATGACAGACGGATTTTCAAATGGCTTCCGTCTTCGTCTTATTCTACGTGGCAGGTTTATCATCCCTCGTTACTCCCCTTCTGCGTTCCTCAGCGATACTAAGAGCACTTTGGTTTGGAAAATGACTAGTTCGTTAATATTACCCACATCGGTTCTCCGCCTACAGACAAGGAGGCTTTTTTGTCCTTGGGAAAAAAAAGGTGAACATTCTCTGATAAGGCTTGCTGCTTTAGGAGTAGCACAGGCCGCTCTGCCTTCGAAGACAGCTAAGATTTTTTTGAGCAATCACTGTGAATAGCAGGACCCTCGCCCTCCGACCCCAGTAGCCCCGCGGGGTGAAGCGAAGGGCGCCCTCAGTACTGGTAATCTGCGAGGGGCGTCTCCGACTGCCAGATGGAGTCCCTGAGGTAGTCGGCGTGGGAGAGGGTCGACGTGGTCAGGCCCTGCGGCATGTACTGGTACTCGAGCCCCTCGAGGCCGTGCGCGGCGGAGGTGTAGAGGGCGATGCTGGCGGGGGCGTGGGAGTCCGCGGGCGCCGTGGACGGAGGGTGCGAGTAGATGCGGTGCTGCAGACGGAGGTTCGTCGGGACGGACGACACGTTGTAGGGCGGCGGGTCGTAGTCGGGGTAGATGCTGCCGGCCGGGACGGAGAGCAGGTTGACGAGGTGGCGGATGTAGCGGATGGCCAGTCTGAGGGGAGAGGCTGGGGTTAGGGGGGTGGGCTCTTCCTTGCTCTCTCTCTCGCTCACTTTCTCTCTCTCTCTTTCTTTCTCCATCTTCTCTCTCTCTCTCTTTCTCTCTTCTCTCTCTCTCTCTCTCTCTCTCTCACTCTCTCTCTCTCTGTCTCTGTCTCTCTCTCTCTCTCTCTCTCTCTCTCTCTCTCTCTCTCTCTCTCTTCTCTCTGTCTACTCTCTCTTTCCG